CGCAGCCTGCCCGTCCTCGCAGCGCGTGGCCGAGGAGCTCCAGCACCTGCTGCAGTGGCTGATGGGCGCCCCGGCCGGGCTCAAGGTGAACCGCGCGCTGGACCAGGTGCTGGGCCGCTTCTTCCTCTACCACATCCACCTGTGGATCAGTGAGTGCGATCCCAGGGGCGGGCGGCCCTCCGCGGCCGCAGCCCGCTCAGGCCGCGCCTCTCCCAGGCTACATCCGCCTCATGTCGCCCTTCATCGAGCGCATCCTGTGGCACGTGGGCCTGTCTGCCTGCCTGGGCCTGACGGTGGCCCTGTCCCTGCTGTCGGACATCATGGCCCTTCTCACCTTCCACATCTACTGCTTCTACGTCTACGGGGCCCGTGCTGCAGACGCGCCGGAGCCCAGGAGCCGCCGGGGCTCCTGCCCGCGCCAGCGCGGCGACCCCTGGCTCGGCTCCGGAAGGTGCCCCCGTTGACGCCGCCCTGAGCCCTGCCCTCTCTTGCAGCGCGTCCGCCATGGTGCTCAAGGCCTTCTTCCCCACGTGCTGCGCCTCGGCGGACAGCGGCCTGCTGCTGGGCCGCTGGGTGCCGGCGCAGAGCAGTGCGGTGGTGCTGGCGGTGGCGCACTTCCCGCTGGTGCCCGTCCAGCTCAAGGAGCTGCTGGCCGAAGTGCAGCGGGCCGGCCAGGTGGGCGTGGCTGTGCTGGGCACCTGGTGCCACCGCCGGCAGGGCCCGGGAGAGAGCCTGGGCCCCTTCCTGGAGGGCCTGGGCACCATCTTCCCGCACGAGCCCTGGCTGCAGCTGTGCCGGGAGCCGGGCAGCCAGCGCTGGGGCTGCAAGGCCAGCGGCTGGCGGGGCCCCGCTGCCCCCAGCGGCCCCCAGGTCATGCTGGTCTTCTACGACCAGCGCAAGGTGCTGCTGACCCGGCTCCACCCGCCCGCTGCCCTGCCCGACCACCAGGCCGGCGCCGCCTCGGCCCACGCGGGGGCCCTGGCCACCGTCTTCGACACCGTGGCCCGCGGCGAGGTGCTCTTCCGCTGCGACCGCTTCACCGAGGGCCCCGTGCGGCTGAGCCACTGGCAGTCCGAGGGCGTGGAGGCCAGCATCCTCGCGGAGCTGGCCAGGCGGGCCTCGGGGCCCGTCTGTCTGCTGCTCACCGGCCTGCTGTCCCTCGTGTCCGCCGCCAGTGCCTGCCGGTGGGTGTCCTCGGGCGGGGGAGCCCAGGGCCCCTGCTCCCCACCCTCCCTCCCGCTCCCCCTCTGGCGGTGACTGCTGGTCCCTGGCAGCGCGCCAGGTGAGCCTCAGGGCAGGCCCGTGACTGCCCAGCGGTGGTGGCCAGTTTGGTCATTGTCCCTTGAGGCTCACAGCCCCAGCCCCTGTGGGCGCCCAGACACTGCTGCCTGCTGGCCACACCCCCCACAGCTCTGGGCCTGGGGCTGGCCAGAGGTCTCCTCCTGGGGCGCTGTCAGGAGGGAAGGCTGGGCCGGGCAGCTCCCCAGCCCGGGGCCCGCTGTGCCCCTAGCATCCTGGCCGCCAGGTGTGGGCAGGCCTGGGAGGGACTTGGGCCCACCCCAAGCTTCTCAGGGGGAGAAGGGCTGGGCGGGCTTCATCGCCTTCGAAGGCCATGCAGAGGCCAGGGGCCCTCCCGGCTCCAACACTGCTCAGCCGGCCGAGCGCTGGCCCCTGGCTGGTGGCATGACAGGTGCCGTGACCTTCCTGGGGGGGCGGTTGTCTTCTTGGCGCCAGCTGACAGCAGTTGGGCGCCCGGCAAGCTCCGCGGGAGGGTCGGGGACCGGCTCCCGGCCCCTCACGGTCCCCACCGGCCTCTCCGGAAGCCTCTGCCGCACCTCTGCCTGGGAGAATCCCAGGCCCGCCGCGCACCAGGTCCGGGGGGCCCTACGTGGTCGCTCTCCGGGAGCCTCCCGCTCGCAGGCCGGTGCGTGGCTCTCAGGCGCGGGAGCCCCCCGGCCCTGGCTGTGGGGAGAGCGGGGCGCCGGCCCGGAGGCGCCGCAGCAGCTCAGGCCTGTGCCGCGCAGCGTGTTCCGGGTGTGGCCACTGTCGTTCGTCTGGAGCAAGCTGTCCACCTGCGAGCAGCTGGGGCACCGGCTGGAGCACCTGAGGCTGGTCTTCAGCACCCGGCGCGCCGAGGACCCGGCCCAGCGGATGAGGTGCGCCCCGCCCCGCCCCCCGCCCCCCCCTCGCCAGCCAGCCCTCACCATCCCCCCCCACAGGAAGGCCAACGCGCTCGTCTCGGTGCTGCTGGACGTGGCCCTGGGCCTGGCACTGCTGTCCTGGCTGCACGAGAAGGACCGCCTGGGGCGGCTGGCCGATGCCCTCGTGCCCACGGCCGATGTGAGCAGGGGCCTGGCTGGACACCGGCTCCCAGGGGTGGGGTGCAGACCTCGGGCGCAGCCGTGACCCCTGGGTCCCTGCAGCAGTTGCTGCCCTCCCGACACAGGTCGCGTTCCCAGTCTGCCCTCCGGGCCCACCGGCGACCGCGTGAGGCCACCGGCTGTCTGGAGGCCGCCTGGCCCAGCTGGCCCCTGCGGGTGCCCCCACTGCACGCGACCGCGGGGTGGCGGGCTGGGCCTGCAGAGAGCACAGGGCAGCTCCCTCGGGCCAGCCGGCCCCGCGCAGCCCCCTCTGGCGGGCCTAGTTGCCCGCCTGCCTGCCCGTGCCCACCCAGCTCAGCTTCCGCAGCTCCTCCTCCTCCCTGCGGGAGCCAGGCCCTCCAGGGTCAGGGTCCCGCGGCTTCCCGGGGACCTGGTCAGGCGCCCCAGGACGGCTCAGGAGCTCGGTGCTGAGTGGGCGGCAGCGCCTTCTGGCGCCGCTGAGCAAACTGCAAGCTGGGCCTGGCGCCCTGCTGGCCCCGGCCCTTCAGGGCACCTGCAGCCTCCCCGGCCCGGGCTCCCTGTAAGCTAGTGGGGAGCCCCTCCGCGGCTGGGGCCGGACGGGGCGCTGCCCTTCGCGGGGACT